TCCCCTTCTCCCATATAAATTATTAATATGTCTATTTCAATGGTTCGTGAGTAATTTTTTTGTGTAATGGTAAAAAAAAAAAATTAAGATGTGTAGTACAATTATTATGTGACATTAAAAAATGAAATGAATGGATGAAATGAATGAAAGTGAATATTAGAGTTTACATATACATTAATTATGAACATTGTTCTAAATTTAATGTTTTTTAATTTAGTATTTTAGAAGTTTCATGACGATTATTATTTAAAATTTCGAAGCAAAAATTTTTTTTTAAAACACGCGAGATTTTTATTAATAAATAATAAACAATGAGATGGATAAATCGACGACAAATTATAATGATGATTGATGATTGATGATTGATGATAATAATCATTGCTCATATGAGAAAACAGATATACAGTAAGAAAAGATAGATAAATTTTATATGTTTGTGTAATATACAATTATTAAATATTTATGTTTTCCATGTGTAATTAGGAAAATCAATGAAAATGGAGGGAGAGTATGTGTAATCTTTTTTTTTATAGTTATGAACAGTACGTATATATACTAGTTTCTAACTTGTTTATTAATAATTTATATAAGAAAAAAAATGCCTAAATTGATAAAAACAATGTAGGTTCGCTCCCAATATGCGATTAACGTGTAAAATGTGCACTATACGGGACTAATACTCAGTGAACGCAAGTTCCGCGAATCACCGAAATTATCGCGGAATTTTCCTAGAGGTGGAGAATGCTGACCAATATAATATATTTATTTTCAAAAGTAAATTTATATTACGGTTTCATCTAAAAATTTCTTGAAAACCATTTCGTATATATATAAATACACTGTCTGCATATTATACATTTTAAAGATATAAAATTCCAGGCAGGGATTCAAAATTCTAGTAACAAAATTTAGATCTTTTAAGAAAAAATGATAAACTTTCTCATCATTAATAAATAGCCTCATTTCTAGGTTTCTTCGCCAGGGAAAAAACTGAGGGCCATGATGATGAAATGATTTAGTTCGCAGAAAAATGTAACCTTGATGAGTGAATACGATATAATAAAAAAGTCATGGCTTCATTCACATACAGTCATACCTCCATATAAGAACCCTTCATACAAAGGCACTATATAAAACCCTCTCTGTAAGAACACATACGTTGAGAACCAATTAATATTAAGCTTACAGAAAATACATTCATATAAAATTTTTAGTCAGGTTCTTATATGTGTATGTATGCATGTATATATTATATATATACATGACAGCTCTTCCTTTTTAGGTGTTGCTAAAGTACCGGAACATTTTTAACAAAATGCAATGCAAATCTGTTTCTTCTTGATACAATTAATAGAATGAGAGTTGATGATGATACAGCTTGAATAATTCGGTGAAACCATCTATTTCCACGAAACGGTCTAACCAGACAAAGGTGTAATTAAAAAAAAAAAAAAAAAATAGATTTTTTACTCCGCATTACAAATAATACTTCAGAATGCCGTCATTGCGAAACTAACAAGCCCACGATGGGATTAGAATATAATACATGAAAAAAAAAGACAACTTTCTGAGGCCACACACATAATTTTTTCTTGATAAATAAATATAGGACAAATTAGAGTCAAAGATGTTGGCATTGATAGTAACAAAATATCAGACGATGAAAGAAATTTTTTAATCTGGTATATGTTATTATTCCAGTATATATATATAATAATGACCAATATATTAACATATAATATGAAAAAAAAAGTCATTATTATTTTTATCCCAATATATATTAATTTGTTAATCAAATTATACTGTATATGCACATGTATGCACATGTATGACTATATTTATGTGAAAATTAAAGAGAATAATGCATCGACTTCCAACCAAGAAACACAGTAACGTTTTTCACAAACTTCATGATGGGAATTCAGCCACATTTAAATCCGCTTGAAGTGTCTATCCACTGTTTTAAGCATACATGTATGTAAATCGCATTTGAAAGAAACCTGAAATGAATGGGATCCAGAACCAACAAATTAAGCCAAAGTAGCTAGGTGAAAAAAAAATCAAGCAAAAAAAATTAATTTTTACTTTTTTTGGAACAACTGTTAATTTCATAAGTCAAGATCACACACAATCACGATCACCATCGCTAACTTAGAATCTTAAAGTTTAGACCCTGAATAAAAAATTTTTTTTTTGTGGCACTAAAACATCATTAATTTTTTTTTTAAAAAAAAATTTTCATATTAATCCGTTGTCGTATTCGTGGGTGATTGGATAATTGAATTTTTTCCTTGGTATTTCTTGTAATCAAAATTTTAATTGCTGATTGAAGAGCAAATAGGATTTGATAGTTTTGTTTGGAAAACAAAAAAAACCCATACGCATACATTAAATAAAACACGAGAAGATTCACAATAATTGATGCAAGATTAAAGGTCAATTATAATAAATAATTCCTTAATGTATTAATTAATTAATTAATTGATATGTAGTGCATACATAAAATAAATATACATTTATACAATGCATACATATACAGCATATATAATATATACACACACATAAACATATATTAATATATGTTCACAAAGACAAAAAAAAAGGAGTGAGAGAATTCTAAAAAATAAAAAAGTAATCAAAATTAAAAGAGGAAAAGAAAACAAACAAGCCAAATTTCCAAATGATAAATAGCTTTTACTTTCCTTGGTGATGATGATTCAATTAATAACGGGATAATGATGATACAAAATACAGGATTAAGGTAAGATTAAAAAGTTAATACTAATATGCGCGTGAAATCACTAATAATCACTTTATACTAACTAGTGTAATCAAGAGCATCAATATTAGTATTAGTGTTGTATTAGGAAGATTAAACAAAATGTAAATGGCCCGATAATCAATAGTAAAAGCAATCAATAGGGATTTTGTTTGTTATCTGATAGCTAACGCGTCTCATTTTGTTTCTTTTCTTTCATTTTGACAAATAAGAATTTCAATATTACGCCATAATCATTTTAATGGATTTTTTCATTGATGATGTTTATTTATTTTACATAATAAGAAGCCATGATATCGGACATGGGATGGTACATATTTGGCTATCATCATCATCATCATCATTACTATCATCATCAATAAATAATAATAATAACAAAAATATATTGCTAGATAACATCATACTGACTCACCTACTTACTCACTAGTAACGAATATATATGCTAGTAGCCGTTTTAAAAAAAAAATTTTTTTTTAATACGTGTGTGAACCCCGGATTATGTCATTGTTAAAATAATAATAAACAACCCATGAAATATGTGTAAATAAAATTTAAAATTAATTAATGTGAGAATTTTTGCATATAAATATGGTAATAGTGATAGCAGTTGATTGATATTAATACAAACAAACACAAAAAGTGCAAAAATTAAAAAACATATATCCACTCAATTATGCACGCATGTATTAAAAAAAAGAAAGATTTTATAGCTTACCAAAAATAAAATAAAATACAATGTAGAGTATAGATCCTATTGTTGATTATTTGTATTATCATTGCCTTTTATTGCTTTTCGCTTTCTTTCAGTCGTTAATCCGTCCATCCATCCATTTGTCCATCAATTTATCCGTCCATCAGTTCATTCTAGCAATCAATAAATCTTTCATTCGCTCATTCATTTATTCATTCATTCATTCATCTAATTCACTTTACGTTTTTTTTCCTGTTCAACTTTTTTATTAATTCAATCATTCTTTTGTATCTTTTATAATTTACATTTTAAGAAATATTAATCATTAAAAGAAATTCTGATTCTAATTAATTAATTAATAAATAAACAATAAACTTTAATTGAGATACATATTTATACTGTGTGCACTTTTTACATTATTTATAATTATAATGCAAATTATGTAAATGGGAAATCGATTTCCGTTATTATAATTATTATTTTATTATTTTATTATTATTATTATTATTATTATTATTATTATTATTATTATTATTTATTATTATTATTATTATTATTATTATTATTATTATTACTTATCAACCGAATAAAATAAAAAATCGATTTAAAAAGAAAAAATGATTGAAACATACGAAATCCTTATTATATAAAAAATAAACAAATAAGATTACTTGCTGATTATACATATGTTATTGACTGATACGTCATTGTTTGCACTACTTTGTTATTGATATTACTGCTATTGATATTATTATAACAGATACAACCAGATAATACATCAGATACATCATATATGTAACATTCATTCAAACCCAAAGAGGTTGATAATCTCTTACACAGACACACACGCGCGCAATAATATATACGTATTAATGAGAAAAACCTGTTGTTGGATGTACGGATGATGATGGATGTAATCAAACCAACTCCGTAAAACCTCTCTTGGCAAAATCTTTTAGCAAGTTGGGAGTTAGTTGGACGGAGTGTTGTATTGAATTACCGTTACTATATTACTATCATTTCCACTTTTGAGATCTTTTTTGATTCGTCAGATTTCTAATAATAGCATATGATACATATGAAACGTAATAACGTTTACATGTCATTATATAATAATATTATATAATAAAAACTTGATTTTTTTAGTCGTCTCTATAGTTTATAGTTATAGTAAACGTTGAAGATCAAAAAATGGAGATTATATTTTTCCATTTTATTTTATTTTATTTTATATTTTTTATTTTGACTGCTGACTGAAACACAACGTAAATTTAGTGAAACAAACAAAACCTTATTTTTCCCAATAGTTTCCCTTCCTAAAATTATATATATATACATAGAAATAAACAAACATGCACACCGACCGAAGATACAATGAACATTATAGTTGTCCGAATCTTTGGGAAATTTTTTATTGAAAAACGAGATCATTACTAGTTTTATATAGTGTTTGGGATAAGACGGATTTTTTGCTGATTCAAGTCATACATGTCTTTTGGCTGTGTGATATTGTTTTGATCATATTATTTATCACAAACGCTTATTCAATCCAATATTTAGACAACAAGATTCTGACTAATAATAATAAGGATCAAATATAGGCTAAGGCTGAATAAAAAAAAATTTTTTACGGCAAAAGAAGTTTGAGAGAGAAACACACTTCTAACATCATGATTATTAATTAAATTTACAAAAAAACTAATTTATTTATAAAAAAATTCGTACAAAAAAATTTTTTAAAATACAAAAAAAAAATTTTCAAAGAATAATTAAAAAAATAAAAAAAAATTTACAAGAAAAAAATTTTTTAAAAAAAAAAAAATAAGAAAATAAGTAAAATATTGAAAAAAGAGAAGATTTTTATTATTTGTTTGATTAGTTAGTGGAGAATGTTTTTTTTTTTACTACACACAAATTTTTTTGGGAAAATTAAAAAATTAATTGGGGGGTTTTTTTTTTGATTGTATGTACATAAAGTTAAAAAAATTTTTTTTCCCATCCGTTCGTTAGTTTTTGTTTTTTTTTGTTTTTTTTTTTGTTTTTTTTTTTTTAAATTAATAAATAATAATAAAAATTTTTTTTAATATATATATATATACACATTAATTGATTTACTAATTATTTTGCGCTGCTTATTTGTGTGCTGTTTGTTGATGTAGTAAAATTAAAAAAATTTTTTTTTTGGAAAAAAAAATTATATTTTATGAAACCACCCATGGCCCAACCCAAATATATTATTTTATTTTAAAGAAAAAACTCTTTTTTTTTTTTTTTTTTTTTTTTTTTAAATGATATCACCATGTATTGATTGATCACATGGCATTAGTAAAGAATCATTCAAATTAAAGCCGCTTAGGTCAAAGAAGTCGAATGTATCATTTGGATTATTGTTGTTGTTGTTGTTGTTGTTTGTTGTGGTAGTTGTGAAATTGTTAATAAAAAAGTCGAATTGAAAATCTGGTTTGGAAAAATCAGGTGTATTTACATTCTCCATTAAAAAATCTAAAGCATCAGTATTAAAAGAATTGTTATTGGACCCGACACAAATGTTATTGCCAGGATTGGACAATACGTTAAATTGAAGATCAGGAGAGGATGATGAGGATGATGTTATTGTTGTTAATTGTTCTTCTGCTAATAATCCATGGCTGTCGTCATTAAATAAAGGATCAAAGTCATTACCATAATCAAAATCGTTTAGTGATATGATTGAACCACGTCTTGATTCGTCAGCACCGAAATAGTCGAAGCAAGTTTCTGTCGTGCTAACTGTATCAATTGAAGCTCTTCGATCAATTTCATTATGATCGTTGTGTAAATGTGGTTGGAATATTAATAGTTCATTATTATTGTTAGTATTGTTATTATTAATGTTATTATTATTGGAATCTGTAGTAGAAGAAGAATCAGCGACAACATCAGCATTGTTGTTGTTATTATTAACAACACCATTTGATGATGATTGTGGTCTCTTTGTTCTACGCCTTTTTTCATGAGGTCTACGAGGACGGTATTTGTATTCTGGGTATTTTTTCATGTGTTCCATTTTAGCATCATCGGCCATACGTTGGAACCTCAATTTTTCTTCCATGGGCTCACGATGCCACATTTCTCCAACTTGTTTGGATACTTCGTTGTTGGTTATGCCTTCATTCTTGGCAACTATATCGGGTTGTTTGAAGCGACGATATATGATGAAGGCGTTTGGTGGTCTCGGAGGCTTCTTTTGTTTAATTGGTTTACTATTATTATTATTATTATTATTATTATTATTATTAGCTGCAGCTCCGGCCCGCGGAGTTTGTTGAGTGGCAGTAGTGCGAGATAAAACTAATTTAGGAAATCGTACATCAGATGATGTGGAAGTGGTCGTGGATGAAGATAATGATGGAGAAGATGATGCGGATGAATTTATTGGTGATTGCTTATTATTATTGATGGTTTTTGTGGTGTTGGTACTGCTACTATTATTAGATACGGCAATGTCCCGCATTGTCATATTTACATTATTTATTTTATTATTATTTTTACCAATTACTTTTTTTATTTTTTGTTGTTGTTGTAAAAGAGGAAGCCTGTTGTTATTATTATCGTTGTTATCGATGTTGTTGTTGTTATCATTTATAGGTGGTATTGAAGTATCACGTGGTATTAGCACAGGTTCAAATCCTTCAGGTATAAAGTATTGTGTTCCCTTTCGTTGTTCGTATAGACTGAGAAGTTCATCTTGGGAAATATATTGGAATGTTCCCGGTGTTGTGGATGAGGATGATTGTGATTGATTTCTTGTGGCTGCTATTATCATTTGTTGTTGTTGTTGTTGCATTGTCATTCTTTGTAAAAATTGTTGATGTTGTTGATGATTCATTAGAGAATTATTATTTTGTTAAAAAATTCAGTCAATTAGATTATAGATAGTCACGATAAGGGTGATGGATTTGAATTAGATATATATTAAAATTAATTGTTATATTATTTTAATTAAAGAAAAGAATTAAGTTGTTTTTTTTTTTATAGGAGAAATATGGTCCTCTTGTGAAAATTAAAAAGTATTATTAATTAATTATTATTATTAATTATTATTAAGTAATAAATAAAAATATAAATAAAATATAAAATTAAATTAAAAAGAAATTAAAAAAAATAAAAATAATATGTAATTTTAGGCGTTGAGACAAAGAAAAAAAAAAAAAAAGAGAAGGTAAAAAACCCGGAAATGAAAGGTTATTTATATTAAAAAATTTTTTTTTTTTTTTGAAAAATAGGGTTTCCCAAAAAAAAATTTTTTTTTTTAATTATTACTAAAAAAAAATAAATATAAATAAATAAATAGTAAATAAAAATTATAATATTATATGTGTTAGAATGAAAGTAAGTTTTAATTGAAAAAAGAGGGGAAAAAAAAATAATTAAGTTTCAATGTAGTTTTGTTTGTTGTATTTTTTATATTTGTGTATTGTTTTGGGGTAAAGGTTAACTCGCACAACCCTAAATTTTTTATTTGTTCTTTAACTTTTTTTTTTTTCAAAAAAAAAAATTTGAATGAAAAAAAAAATCAGAATGAAAAAATAACGCACTTTTTAAATAAGATTTTTCTTTTTCTTTTTCGAAGGTTTGAAAGTTAAAGAAAAAGAACAAGAGAGGAGAAAATTTTATTTAATAATAATTATTAGGTTAATTAAGAATTTATTTATTTATTTATTTAAAGATTGATTGGTTAGAATGATGAACGATGGTGATATATATATAATAAATGAATATTTTGTATTTTTACTTCATAAAATTATCAAAATATTTTAAAATAAAAACTTTTTTTAAAGCATTTGGATACTTGATTTGGGATTAACAAGTAAAATGAATTATGAGAGATGTATTTATAGCAAAGAAAATTTTATTTATATGTGTTTTAACTAAATTGAAAAAACAAACTTTCTAATACATTTTAATTAATTAATTAATTAATTAATTAATTCATATTTAAAAAATTTTTAAATTAATTACGCGTAAAAATTTATTTTTTTTTGTTTGCCATTATAGTTGATATTAATTCTCTATTAATATAATAAATAATAATAATAATAATAATAAATAAAAATTAATATAATAAAATAATAAAATAAAAATAAAAATAAAAATTTATATACTTGGGAAAACAACAAATTACTCGTCTAGTTTAAAAAAAAACACATTCTTTGATCATTGATTTTTAGTTCAAGTTTTTTTTTTTAATTTAACGTTTGCGTCATTGCTCTCAATTATAGTTTATTTAAAGGGGGCTATTAACTCGACGTATCATATCATTTCATTCACTGAATCTAGTACTTTTGATTAAAAGATTGGTAATAAAATAAGTAATCTATTAATACAAATTGTATTTAATTTTAAATTAGCAATAAATGAATGCTTAAATAATTACATAATCCATATTTATACAAAGTTATTACACAAGTACTTGTATTAAAGTAGATAATTTCAAATGAATGGAGGAACCTCCGTGACCTAAACAGCTGACGATCGGCCCACCATAATGTAACACTAGTTCTTTTATAGACGAGATTTTCATTTAAAGCAGATAAACAAATTGATAAAGAAAGAATCAATGATCATTTTCATCACAATCCTCCACACAATTAAAGGAATATTCAATCACAAAAAGCAAACAGTGATAGCAAGCGGGCGAGAGGGCAAGCAGTGAGGCAAATATTAAATTGCCAGGAATAAATAAATTAAAAACTTTGTGTAAAATAAACAGTCTCCTTTTATTTAGCAGTTTTACAATATGAAACTCGTTGTTATTATAATTTTATAGAGAAAAAAATTCTTCCCACACCATGAAATATGGTTTATTTTTGTCAGGTAAATGTAAAAATATCATAATACCAAATAGATATGTATACATGTAATTCAAAATAATTTTTGATTGCATTATAATTATTGCATCACAACCTTTTATTGCAACCACGCATAACAATAATTATTACAATTATTATTACAATAGTTTTGGATTTTGAATTTAGATTTTAGATTTAGATTTTAGATTTTGAATTTTATAAATTTCCGCGTTCAACAAAAGAATGTTTCTTATTGGTGGCGGTGTTGTTGTGATTCAATATTCATTGTATTCTTAAAAATTCATTCTTTTGCAAATATTTACACATATGAACAATGATAAACTCAATCTGAGATTATTTTTGTCAGATACTAGTTAACAAAACTAACAATAATAACGGATTGTTGAAAAAGCAAATATCATATAACTTGATTCTTCGTTTAAAAAATATTAATTTGTCATTAAAATAAAATGCAAGGTACCACCAATCAGACGACTAGTTGAAATGACACGCCTGAAAATCACAAATTTCTACATCTTCTTGCATCTACATCAACAACAGCATCAGCTTGATCTTTATGTCTGTGGTAAATTCAAGAACAATTCAAGATATTTATGCTTATCAATACTACAAAGCATTGATTGTCAGAGAGTTGTAATTGATAGCAAGTGCAGTTTTTTATTGGTAATGGTTATTAATAGATGATAATAATTGATGAACCCGCCTTCGTTTTGAAATCCTAAAACGGGATTAATGAACTCTCTTTAAATGGTAGTTATGACGAAAGAAAATCACTGGGTGTATATATGCTACCATAAATATCAATAAATGACAATGCAAGGTGATGAATGGAAGAATCTTTGCTTGTTCATCGTACATTGATTAATATTAGTATTTTTAAAAGAATTAACGAGTTCGGAGATTAATTATCTTTACATTTGTTGGTCTTCTTTTTTCTACAATGGGCGAAGGAATTAATTAACTAAATTAACTAATTAACCAATTAACCAGCCCTACTTCTTGTTCTTTTATATTTAATTGTAAATAATTTCTTTTCGATCAAAAAAAGATAAAATTTCCACATGCTTAATGATTAATTTCTAAATTAGTGATATTTTTTAATACGTTTGAAAAAAAATAAAAATTAAAAAAAATTACATTGTAGTTTAGAATATTGTTTTGTTTTTTACCTATATTTATTATCCACAGTGACTAGTTATATATATATATATATATATATTCAATTTTGTTTAATTTTTTCTATTAGATGAAATTATTGTATTAATCTAAATTTGTGTTTCAAAGAAAATTCAAAATTAATTGAAATAAACAATGCAAAACTATTTTAGCATTCATTCATTCTTTCGATGTGATCTACATATTTTACTAAATTTGGAAATTTTAAAAAATAGTTTCTATGATAATTGGTAAATAAATATGTTTCTTTGACACTTATAGCCTCTGTCAAAGTATCAACAAATTCACTAGTTAATTAAGAATGAATGATTCACCAATCAAATAATTCTTGATGACTGATAATTAAGAATTGATTTATTCGCCCGTTAATTGATCACAACTGATGTAATGTTTTTTATTTTTAGTAACAATGAAACAGGGTAATTGTAATTAAGGAACATGAATAAAAGTGATAATGAATAAAAAAAATCTCCAATTTACAACTTGGAACATTCTCAAAAATAACAGAAGCGATAATGATGTTGGAGAATTCACGAATTTACAAACGCACCAATTGCCATACCAGATTACGCGTAAACTTTTTTTCGATAATGAATTTTATTTCTAATTTAAAAAATAATTTTAGTTAGAGCAATCTATTTTTAAAAATATATTTATTATATATTTAGTAAACCTATTATTATTTTAAATAAAAAATTAATAAATATATTTAATTAATTTAATTAATTCAAAATTAGTTTTCAATAAAAATTTTTATTTATCTTACGATTAAAATAATAAACAAACAAAAACATAAATTTTTATTATACAAGCATATCGAAGGTTCCATTACAACTATTATCATGTAATATTTAAAACTCTCATTTAAAAACAATTAAAAATTCATTTCTACCATTGAACTCAGCGAATTCTCAGCGATTACCTTTTTATTTATCTTGGCTATTAATTGATTATTTGATTAATTAATTAATCGATTGGTAATTTAGTTGATTAAAAACCACCGAAAAATTTACGCTTTCAGGAAACATTCAAGAATTTCTTCATTGTAACATCAATTGCCAAATATTCCTTTTACTTATTTGCCATTTTTGTAATTGTTTTGTCATACAGAATGCAAATTTCAATCAGGAAAAACATATAGTTAACAAACAATGATTATTTATGCGTGTCTGTCGGTTGGTAATTTCCTATTACTATCAAAGAATATAATTTGTGCGAGAGAGTTTTTCATTTGTAAATAACTTTAATGTTTAACTAAATATGATTGTTAACGGATAGTTGCTATCTTAGTTTACAATGATTGACAAGCAAATCAATATAATCAATAATACCCCCCCCCATTCATCCGTCAATCAAACCGTCCAACCAACTATACGCAACGATAACAACAATTACGCACGCATTAATTAATTTTAGACTTTGCCTCTTTATTATAGTAATTGAATGGTTATTGATGATAATAGTAATTATAATAATAATAATATCGGTTTTTAAATCGTGGCTTTTTTTTTAATATACTCGTACGCGCGTGTAGTTTAAAAGTTTGTGTTTTGTTTAAATAACCGAACGCAGCAGCGGTGTACTTTCTCCTTTTTTCGGAAATTAATTCACATCGAATCATTTAAAGGTCATTTTTCAAACTCAATTAAAAAATGACCTGCATAAAAAATTTCTTTTTTTTTTTTTTTTTCCTCAAGCGAACACATGTATGTAAATGTGCATAAATTAATATTAGTATTAAATAAAAAAAGTATTTTATAATAAAGTACAATAAAATCAATTGTTTTTTTTTTTCGAAAAAATAATAAATATCTCTCTGCTTCATCTAGTTTTTATTTTGTTTACGGTTGGCTGTTCAACCCTTTTGGATTAAATGGCTTGTTAATGATAAACAAATAAAACAAGGAATTACGCGTTTTTATTTATGGAACTGATCCTGTACAATAATAGTCAAAGTCATAATAATAACAGATAACAACGATTACGACAATAACAAATAACCCGTTTATTTATTTATTTATTACTAACTATAGCGAAAATAAATGGCCTAGAGAAATTTAAGCTTATTTTTAATCGGGAATATCATTTAGGTGATGATTTGTTCTTGCAAGGAATTAGTACATATTTGTTTACATAACAATCCTCATGTTAATATAATTACCGTTACTGAAATCACACACATCAATCAATCAGTAAATCAATCAATCAATAAACAATACTTTGTTTCTACTTTACCTCTTTAATATTGTCTCCTTCTTGCATACACCAACCCGTAAATTATTTAAGGAACGTGAAACTCTAATTCAATGAAAAACCGATAATCTTGACGAATAATATTCAATCAACAATATTTAAATAGATTAGTTGGTTTCAGATGATGTCTGTTACTATGCTTGTCTTGTCTTTTTTCCTCTTCAGTAATTTGCATCAGCTGACAGTTTCACATGAACTAGATTGCAAATTAGACCCTGAATGAAGTAAATAACATTAAATTGCAACAAATAACGTTACATACACACACGCCATTCTCATGCAAACAATCCTTTGTAGAAAAACTCCGTGCGACAAAAAAGAACCCCATTTTTAATTTCGCACAGCCAACTTTTCAATCAAAAATACTTTTTATATGTGTGTGCGTGCGCGCGCGTCTTTTTCAAGAAGAATCATTTTCTTTTAGCTTGGAAACTCTCGCACTCGCTCGCTCATTCACCATGAATGAATAATGTTTTGAGATGAGATATGCATCTTTTAAAGGTTATATGATATCGCACATCTTGTTACTTGCATGAACTTTAGCAGGCAGCTTATAACCTACTAGTATTAACCGAGTTTGGTAATACTTATTATTATATTATATTCTTGTTATACGAAAATAGATGTTTAACTGATTCACAGATGTATATAATTTATATTAAAGACAATTAAAGTGTGTATGTTGGCTTTTCAATTCGTTAATGTCATGCCATGCTATTTATTTTCTAGTCACGTGTGACCAATAAAATCGTAATACATTAACTCGTTTTGATTTGGTAGAAATGCGCATCAACGAAGAAAGGAAATTATTTACTTTTTTTGAATTTTTATAATTTATATAGTATTTTACAATGGCCTCTTATTTCATTATTATATGCATTATTCATATAGAAATTTTTTTTCCTTTTCTCTATAGCAACAATATGCTTGACATATTTATTTCCAAGGATTAAATCCAAATATATAATACAAGTAAAAATTCAGAGATATTTAAAGAAAGATTTGAAATATATGAAAACACACACACTTTTTAACACATATTACACCTCTCACATTCTAACAAAGTTCTCAAATACGTATCTATATATTAATATATATATATATATGTACAACGCATACATATATACAAATACTTTTATTATAATATTGTATTATCTAGTTCTGAACGTTGTAGTTCGACTAGTATTAGCAAATGATGATGAGGATACGATGGTCGAGTCGAGATCGGTACATCTTTTCATTGATGGTTTGGTTTCTTTGATATTAATGGGATTCCCGGAGTTCGATGTAATAATAATGAGGCAATCATTATTTTATTTCGATTCAATTTATTTTGATTATGCGTAATTGGTCTATGTGTCTACGTGTGCATGTTAAGTTCTTTTTTATTATTATTATTAAAAAATGAATTTGAGATCATAATCGTAAAAGAGAAAATAAAAGATGATGAATTCTTCTTTTTTAGATTTATTATTATTAAAAAACTATGATAAATGCCATATAAAATAAATTGTTCAATGGAAAAAAATTAAATTAATTTTAGACAACAAAAAAAATTTTATCACAATGGAATCCAAGAAAAACTCTTGGAATATATCAATGGCCCCATTTTCATTCTGCATTTTGTAGATTTTCAGATTGAAGCAAGTCTTCTGATACTGCTGATGATATATTCTTCGACATATCTTGTGTTTCTTGAGAGTTTGTAATATTTCGAGGATAGACTCTTGCATGAGTAATCGATTTACTAGGATTGCCATCCGAATCCATTGCTCCTATAAAGGGAAAAAAACAAATCTCCACAACATAATCATCCACATTCCCATCATCCCATGATAAAACTTTCATAAATCTAAAATCTAGCTTTGCATTGTTCGTAAACCAATGTACTTTGCATTTAGGTTCTTGAACTAATAATAAGAATTTAAATATCCTGACAATTTCTTTGACAAGACCTTCTGCCATATCTTCTACATTCTTTTTTTTATTTTCATCTTTGATAACACGATATCTGGTCATTAGTCGATTAAGTTTTTTTGCTGTGCGTGATATAAATGAATGTTCTTGTTCAGTTCCAGAGAATCCAAGTTCAGTTAATGCGAGATATGTAAACTGTCGTATTTTTGTTGGAATGTCTTTAATCACCATACTACTATTATCTTGTTTAAAATTAGTAGGATAAAATTGGTTATTAAGAAAATCCAATAATTGATTTGTATGGTTTACGATATATTTTTCTTGATTAGAAGGATGATCTAAATCATCATGTTCTTTAACTTCAAAATAATCATCTGCCCATTTCAAAACTTGTTCCAGAATATAACGTTGTAGTACTGCTTTCATCAAAATTTTATCTTTTAGATTTTGAGCTTGCACATTATATCTTTTGTATAATTCTTGAACTGTCTCAAAGTTGATTACCATAAAAGAGCCCTTTAAATTAGTAACATATTTCTCAATGCTCTCCTGTAAACTAATCACATCAGTTGCAAGATGAGCTGAATTATCTTCATGATCGTCACTTATGCGGAACTTTAATCCATCTCCTAAAATTGTTTGATATGAAGCCTCTTTCATCAATTTCCTATTTTTATTTGCTAGCTCTCTGTTCAAGTTTTTTAGATCTTTAATCTTGATAATTTTTTTTTTATTATTATTACCCATAACAACTTCATCAATTTCATCAATCCTTCTATCTTGTGCATTTTGTTTAGATAATTGTTCGTAAGCTTCATATAGATGATTAAATTTTTGTTTTATGATGGATAATTCTTCTTGTAACTTTGCTCCATTTTCTATTGATTCGTTTTTTTCATATTTCGTTACTTCTATTACATTCCTGATTTCCTCATTTATTTTTTGCAAATCAGAATTTTCCTTGGTTAATTGTTTATAAGAATTATTTAGATAATCAGATTTTTGTTTTTCACCGGATAACTCTTCTTGTAATTTTTTTTCATTTTCTTTTGATTTAGTTGTTTCATATTCTATGATTTCTATTATATTCTTATATTCGTTATTTTCTTTTTGCAATTCAATGCATTTTTTATAATAATCAACATCTCCTGTAACTATAATTTTTTTTTTTTGAATTATTTTTATTGGACTAAATTTATTCCACAAATAAAAAAATATTCCCTTAATAAATATATATATATATTAATATAGACTAACCATTATCAGTGAGGGTGTAAGATCGAATTTCTTCCATAGTAGTAAATATTGAATAATTTCTTTGAATATATCTATTTTTTTTTTGTAAGCTATATTAATTAAATAATAATAACGGTTGGAAATAATAAAAACTCTCCATTTACAATGTAAGACAAAACAAAGCAAACAAGTATATAACAAATGAAAATACAAATCGGGCCAATAATAATATAATATAACAAGCAAAAATATTTTCTGTTACGTCACCCACTTAATTTGTGATAATGATGATGATGGGTCAGGAGAAATAAATGAAATTTTTAGATTCGTATAACAAATGTCTATTATTATAAGTAGCATGTGCTCTTTACTCTTTTTATTGACAAAAAAATTTTTTTATTTTATTATTCTCTCTATTAATCAATCCATCTATCTATTAGATGTAAATATTTTTAAATTGACCCTTATATTTAAGAAATTTGAAGTATCCCAAAAAGTGAATTAAATTTATCAAGTGAGCCTTGGATAAATTCGTAGGCATTCAAGCGAACAAATTCCCACCCATTTACAAAATGTTCAAACTTTTGCAGGTCAAACTCACAGGAAGAAGATACATTGACATCATTGCAAAGAGAAAATTATCCAGGCCTCGAAATGACATTATTTTTATCTTTCCAATAAAAAAAAAATAATATAAAATCAACCTTTATAATTCTTTAAAGTGGATGATTTTTTAAAAGACATGATAAAGGTTGAATGAACCAGATTCACTAAACACAAATGTATCCACACAGCCACATAGTCGACTTTTGACAAAGCCTTCAAGCCCAGAAAATTTATGAGCTTCGGGTGGAACAAGCCAGTGAGCATTTACAACAAACTCACCACTTTTCACATGTAGTCAGTACTTGATCAAAAGTTTTGGAACGTTTATTTCTTTTTTAATCAATAATAAACAAGAATGCAAATAATTATGACCCAAGCATATATATATATATTTGGTAAATTTTTTCTTTCAAAAGTTATAAAAATTTGAATTTTACACCATTTGAAAAGAAAAATTACCGTAATATGATATCGAACCCATGCATTTCTTTGTGTGAAAATTTCTTGGCCTTGCATTATCCGTTTTTTGAAAATCAGAGAAAGAGATGAATGAAAATGACAATATAGCGAAATTATATACCTACTTGCATTTATAAATAATTTTATCGTTAACACTTTTACATCGACTTTAATTAAGTTTCTATCTTAAAAAAAATGGAAACTTTTCTATTAACTTGGACATCTCTTACTACTATTAGAATTGCAACTCGTGTTGAACCAGATGAATGAATGGACTAAAGAGGAGGTAAATCATTTCGTAAAGATGTTAAAAAAGTTATACAGCAAATGATGCGATGCTTTGAGGTTTTGAAATAGACAAAGAACATTTTGTTAGTAAGAATATTTATAATATGACGGTATATATGATCGTGCGGATATAGTGTATAATTTGTTGAAGGTCCTTATGTAAGATACTACTCAGTGTAGCTACGCTGTGTAGAGTAACAGGATTTACGCCAATTGATGCATGATTGTGAAAAAGCGTATACCTGTCTGATCACGCGTGTACATTATTTGTTTATCATTAAAAAAGTTCAGCTAATGAATGCGGTTCCTTTAGACGGCGGAATTTGACGATATCAAGTCTTTGTTTAAGGTGAATGCCTTGATAACTATCAAGTAGAGTTACTTATAATAACTGCCACTAACATACCAATTGCACTACAAGACTTCATGGTTCGGTTGAGTCGTATTCGTCAGAAAATCACCTCTAAAATTATATGTAGATTTTACATGTGAACAACATGTGAACAGCGTATTATTACATGCATTCATGGATCGTTACTTGTATGTGAAGCATATACCTTTGTGTATTATATGTATACTAATAATATAGATGTATTAAGTTAGTGTTATAGATATAGTTTACATATAGGTCTAATATATATTTTTATTCGTAACAATTCTAAAATTATAAAATTTTCTTCGAATCCTTTTTTCTCTTCCAAAATGGGTTTCTTGTATATTTATAAATTATTACAATGTTGCAAAAAAATGGCACTTGGTATTTTTCGTCACCGCAGGTTTTTTCACAACGTATATATGTATATACTTTTACATTAGGTTATGAATGTAGAAATTATGTATTATCATTCACTATTATGAATAATGTCTGTTGGTATTATATTAATAATTATTTTTATTATCATTGTTGTTAAATGGCGCGGCCTTCATTTGAGCACGTAAACTTGTAATTAAAAAGAAATTGATTGATTTAATTAATTAATAATGTTCGAAGATAATACGTGAACCAATTTACTAACATCCGTAGATGTGACTGTATTATGTTTTTCATGCTCCACATAAGTAGTCGTATCCTAAAAGAAAAGAAAAGAAAATCATTATAAATTTATAATTGTATTATCATTTTTATTATTACATACTCGAATAACTTTCTCAAGAAATTCACACTCCTAGTTTCATGATATATTACGGTGGAAACACATTTTTCTCCTCCGTGTCAAGCAAGTTTTCTGATGGAGGCTTAGGTATTTCCTTGTAGATTTAATTGACGATCCGCGAGAGGGATCGGCGGGGGTAATTTCTCAAAAAAACGACCAATCGAACAGTCTAATTTGTCCAATATTTGGGTCCAAATGAGCATGGTGGACATTCGAATGTTGCACCAATTTTTTATGCTGTGTAACGTAATTTTTAAAGTAAAAAAACAGTGTGCTCAATTAAAATGGGTATGCGTTGACGCGTGACACGACTGTAACTTTACAGAGATATTCTTTAACGTTTTTTAAACTTAATTCCAGCTGCATCCGTCGGCATCCGCGATTTTG